ATTTTGTTCTGTAAGCCTTCATCTTAAGTGAGAATAATAGCACAATTGGAAGAGCGTAGTCAATGTCACTGAACTGTGCATGTAGAAATTTTTGAGTTGGTGTATCTTTGGCTATATGTATTTTCACCAAAAAAAAAGGGTTGAGATGTTAGAGGGTTGACATGTTGTGGGGTTGTTAACCGATGTCATAAAACAATATGTGTACTACTGTTTTCATGAGAAACTGTTTGTTCTGTAAGCCTTCACCTGAAATACAATAAAAAATAAATTTAAAAAATGGAAGGATTGCTAGGGCATGTGGTATAGCAATAATGGTCTAGAAATGAAAGTTTGGAGCAGAGAAAATACTGCCTTCTTGCCCTGAGATGCTTAGGAACTGGGAAGAAGAGCCCCATCCCCCCTTGGAGAAAGCCACAGAGGAAGTGGTGTCACCGTGAGAATCACGTTTCTACTACAGTGAAGAAAGATGTGTGTGTCAGACATCATGAGTGTATAGAGAAGGTCTGTGTGTGGAATGAAGGCACTCCATAGAGTGTGATAGAAGGGACCAAGAGAGGGGTAGACAGAGCTGGAGGGAGCCTAGAGCCGGCTAGAGGTGAGAGTGTGGGAAAAGATCAAACCGAACAAGGTATTTGTGCCAAGGAAGGTCATTATTAATGAAAGGGGCTTTTAAAGGGGAGGGGCAAGAATTTGGGAGGTAAACGTTCCAAAGGAAACCCAAACCCTTAGGCAGCCCCAGGATGAACAGATGAAGCCTCTAGACTCATCATAACTGAGGTGAACCCCAAAACCTTACTCCTAGTTTACTCAAGTTCCCAGGGAGGCAAGCAACTCAGCTGTTAATCCTGGGCTCAATGTCTGCTCTACCAATAATCACGGGTTTGATCTTGGACAAGCCACTTAGCTTCTCTTGTTTCCCTGCCTTAAAGTAGACATCCTTAAATTTCAGTGTGCGTAAGAATCAGCTGAGTAGCTAATTTAAAAAGGTATATACTTGGGCTCCCCCCTCAGAGACCAGTTCCCATGGGGTCCAGGAATTTCCTTTTACACATGAACCCCAAGTGATTGTGGGACAGGTGGTCACCAGAATACACTGAGAATCACTGCCCTGCAAGGAAGGTTTCAGGGCAGATGATCTCCTGCAGCCTCTCCATGGAACCCTACTCTCTTTCACCCCTACAATGCAGTGCTGGTGGACACTTGTCCACTTGCACTTATTGTTGCCTTTCTTTCCTTACAAAAGGAAAGTGTGGACTGCGCACACACTTCTTCCTTCAAAAGAGTACAGTATGGAAAGTGTATGTGTTGGGGGGGGGACTTTACAGTGGAGAAACTTGACAAACACAACCTCCACTAGGTGATCAAGGTCAAGATCAGTAATGATAAGCCACATTGATAGTATGTACGCTTGATATGCTGGAATGAGAATGGCACTTCACCTCTGTGGTTTTCATCCCCAAAACCCATAACCCCAGTCTAATCATAAAAAACATCAGACAATCCCTAATTAAGGGACATACTACAAAATACCTGATCGGTACTCCTAAAAACTGTCAAGATCATCAGAAACAAAGCAAGTCGGAGAAGCTGTCACAGTCTAGAAGAGCCTAAGGAGATAACCAAATGCAGTGTGGTATCCCGGATAGGATCTTGGCACAGAAAAAGGATATTAGGCAGAGACAGATTACCCAATAAGCAAGGTAGGCACGGGCTTCATTGTGTTTACTTACTAATCTGTAGCGCATTGGTTTTACCCCATCACCCAGGTGAAATTGTGCACTACAGTAAGTAAACACAGTGAAGCTTGTGCCTACCTTGCTTACTGTAAGCCATGCATAGCGTGTTTACTGGTTAAACTGCCCCTGATATTAGGTAAAAACTGAGAAAATCTGAATAAAGTATGGACTTTAGTTAGTAATAATGTATCAGTATTGGTTCAGTTGCTGTAACAAATGTGTCGCACCGATGTAATGAACGTAATGTTAATGATGGCGGAAACCAGATCTGGGGTATATGGGAACTCTCTGTAATACATTTTCTGTAAATCTGAAACTACTCAAAAATTAAAAGTTTGTTTTTTTAAAAAAAAAAAAGGAGTTAACCGTCCTTTGTAAAGCTGGGTTAGTTTTTCCTACATAGCTGAAACTTCCAAAATGTGACACTGAGGTCGATGTATTCCCCACAGTAGATACTCTTTTCGTCAGAAGTCAGCAACTATTGCCAGGGATGTCATACTCCCTTGGTATCTTGATTCACACTTAAAACCTTTAAAATCCTATGAATAAATCGGCTGTCTTTGCAGCAGCCAAATGATTTGCATGGATGATCATGGGAAACAACTTGGTGTTTTCTTAAGCCGTACAGAGCTTCCTCCTTGAGTCCTCATAAGACCTTTCCAACAGCTTGCACTAAACGACAAATCAGACTGAGTCTTCAGTTGTCAACCGAGAGACCTCACGGGCCAACAGCAGCAGTTCCTCTCTTGTAACTTGCAAAGCACAGACCCATTGTCATTGTGTGTGATGCACATGGGTATGGCTGAATGTTGTCTTAGTGCCATCGTGTCTGATTTCCATTATAGTAACAACCTAATGAGGCCGTATTTTATTGTTCTCCTCAACAGGGAGGACCTGGAGACCTGGGGACAAAAGGAGACATTGGCTTGCCTGGTCCTCGAGGAATGCCGGTTTGCATTTTATCACTACCTTTTTGATTGGACCCTTGGAATTTTTTAGATATCTGATGTGATTCTCTGAAGAGAGTTTTAAGGATACTATCCCAAGTCAGCCTTATAGTTTTCTGGAAATTGAGAGGGATATCATCTTTGTTTTGCTTCGTTCCTTGGCCAGTGGCCAGCCTTCCCAAGGGGGCAGTTTCCAGGTACCAAACAGCATGGCCGGGATGCTCGTGAAGCCAAATTGCAAAATGGACAAAACTTGCCATCAGCATCCCATAATCCTTCTTTCAGTCTTTCGTCCCATCAGAATGGCTTCATCGGAGACCCCTTCTGCCACCAGTGTTCAGGGCTTCTCACTAAGATCCCCTGCACTGGTCTGACAGTAGCCAATGCCCCGGCATATCAAAAAAAATCAAACACATTGCCATCAAGTCAATTCCGACTCATAGCGACCCTACAGGACAAAGTAGAAACTGCCCCATAGGGTTTCCAAGGAGTGGTTGGTGGATTTGAACTGCCGACCTTTTGGTTAGCCCTCGTGTGCAGTGGTTAAGAGCCCAGCTGCTAACCAAAAGGTCAGCAGTTCGAATTCACCAGCCGCTTCTTGGAAACCCTATGGGGCAGTTCTACTCTGTCCTATAGGGTCGCTATGAGCTGGAATCTACTCCATGGTAACAGGTTTTTGGTTTTGGTATTTTTACCTAGCGAACTGATAAATAGATTAGAACTAAGGTATGAAATGCATGTATTATCCCGAAAAGGTAATACTACTAGCTCCTTTTACTAAATTACTGTATCCGTGATATTATCTCATTTAATCTTATAACAACACGAGTAAGTAGTATTTCCACTTTAAAGATAAAAAAGACTAAGGGGCAGTGCATTGTCTGTATCTGTTACTGACAATTGTCTTTAGTGTCACTCTCACAAAACGGCAGTGGCATGCCTCAGAGAGAGGACCCCACTCCTGGTTTCCCCTAATGAAATCACACAGCCGGCTATCTTGTCCTCTTGTGAGGAAGTCTGCCTCTATCTGTAGTCTGGAATGTTTGTAATTAATTACTGTGGTTGCAGGGGGATGATGGCACTCCAGGTGGTGGCAGAGTTGGAACTAAAGGAGCAAAGGTAAGTAGCATCTGCTGGCAGCTGGACATTTTCCTTTTGTGTTGTCGTTGTTTGTTTGCCACATTTACAAGTCAAAAAGAAGGCAAATAGTGAATAAGACTGTTGTGACGTTTAGAAATATATTTTGATAAATTTCTTTGCTGGTGCCCTGTGGGGAATGTGATCCGCTGGTTTAAGCTGCAGGCAACGATTGAAACTGGAAAATGAATTTGCTATTCTTCGCAGAGGCGTGTGCCCAGGGCCCGACTTGTTCCAGCCTGAACAGCACATCTAATGGTAGCAGCTGTGTGCTTGAGTTTACTCAGGGGGGCCTGCCAAAAGGTGGTCTCCTCTTGTTGTGTTTGCTCTAGCCATCGGTGAGAGGTTTTGCAGGACTTTCCTGAATGCATTGGGCCAAGTGGTAACTTAAAACTAAAACCTTTTAACACCATATCAAAAAAATAATTTTATATTATCACTGAATATTTAAGTGTCTGGAAGTAAGACATAAATTTACCAAAGCCAGTGATTTCTCTGTACCAACAATAACCACTTAGAAATTGTAATTTTTTTTAAAAATCATGATTACGACATCAACAAAAATACAATATAGTTAAGAATGTCCTTTCTGAAAAATACACGAGACCTATAACAAAGATTTATTGAGATATAAAAGAAAACTTGACAAATGGAGAGGCACACTATGTTCTTGTTGGAAAGTCTAAAGCTTATGTAAATGATCAATCTAATTCCAAGTGAAATCCCAATAGGAATGATGCAAGGAGCTGTCTGAAAAAATAAATCAAAAAAATAGAAAGAAAAAAAACTAAAATTGTTTTGAAAAAGAAAACTAATGAATAAGAGATGTCCAGTGAAATGCTCACTAGAATAGGGAATAATTGAAAACAGATATTCCATGATAGAGGAAAGACTAACTAGCCTCTAGCATTGGAATATTAGACATCCTTTAAATGGAATGTATATGAAAAGTTTATAATGATGTGGAGAAATTATTTGACAATGTTAAGTTAAAAAGAAAAAATCGGAATATAATTAGAAAATCATTTCTCCCAATTGTACTAAAATGCATTTTAAAAAGCTAAAACAAAGTATGACAAAATATTTATAATGATCAGTTCTGGGTGGTAAGATTTTGGTGATGTTTCTTCTTTCTATTCTTTTGTATTTTATATATGTTTGAGAATATAATACTTTAATAATCAGAAAATAAAATTTGCATTAAATAAAATATGTAATTTTTCAATAAATAGAGATTATCATACCTCTTCAACTATAGCCTTTGGCCAAAGTAAGGTAAACACAGGACGAGAAAATGAATGATCAAGTTCCGACTAAGCTAGATAGATAGATAACTGCCATAGACTCCTATTCATGGCGACCTCATGTACAACAGAACAAAACATTGCCTGGTCCTGAATCATCCTCACCATCACTGGCATGTTCAAGTCTATTATTGCAGCTATTGTGCCAATCTATCTCACCGAGGGTCTCCCTCAATCCTTTTGGCTCTCAGCTGCACCAAACATGTTGTCCTCCTCCAGCCATTGATCCCTCCTGATGACATGTCCAAAGCCAGAGAGTTGGACAATGTTCTGTTGTGATCCATGGTGTTTTCATTGGCTAATTTTTGGAAAGTAAGTTTTCAGGCCTTTCTTCCTAGTCTATCTTAGTCTGGAAACTCCACTGAAACATATCCACCATGGGTGACCCCACTGGTTTTCGAAATACTGGTGGCAGAGCTTCCAGCATCACAGCAACACCCAAGCCACTACAGTATCACAAAATAACAGGCAGGTGGTGGTCAGACTATACAGGCTTCTCAAATTTCTCAGTTGAAATGTGTTTTGCCAAGATTGTTTCAGAAGTGCATGGGCAAATGATCACCTACCTATCCTGTGGTATGCCTGTAATAGAAGGAGAGCTGACTTATAGCTCCTCAGATGTATACATTGTCATGGTATTTTGGTAAAACTGGCTAATAGTTTAATTTAGAAATTGGGATTCATTTCTCAGATAGTGCGATACAATTTCCAGGTTCCAATTGTTTTGGCACTTCTTTGGTTCAGAAGTACTAAAACTAAACAAGGCATCAGGTAAAATTAAAACCAGTATGGATATACGTGTGCATATGTTAATCTTCCCTACTGTCAATTATAGGGCCCAGAAGGATTCCCTGGAGAAAGTGGACCTAAGGTACTGTGTACTTTATATTAACTAGAGATCACTCAGAAGAGCATGATAACTCACAGAGGAGCATGATAACTCACCAGCCTGAGGTTATGAAATGTACCCAAGAACAGTAGAAGGATAGTTAATTATAATAACTATTCTACCTTACTGGGGGAAAGGAAGGAAGAAAGAAGACTATTTTTTTTCATGTTTTAAGATCATGCCTTTCTTTACAAGTGTATAATTTTTTTTAAATATTCCATTTTTAGTTCATGAGTAAAAGAAGAAAAATAATTTAAAAAAAAAATTTTGTCCTCCAATGTACATCTTCCCCTCTGTCATCTGTACTTTCTTCTTTCTTCAAAGGAAAGCGAAATGTAAGGAAAACCAAAATTATTTGATTTTGTGTGACTTGTTTTTCCCAATGTGTTTGTAACACACCTTCAGATAATAAGTTAGCAAGGCTGTCCTCTACCTTAAGGCTTTTACTTCTGAGCTAAGTAAATGCCAGGTCCCGGGATAGGGGAAGGGGGCAAAATAAAGGGCACAGTTTGTGTCTCCAAGAAGCTTGTGTTCTGGTTGGAGAGAGAGGAAAGTAAGCAATGAGGATGCAGTGTGCTCTGTAGAGAGCTAGAAAAATACAAAAAGAAAGGACATTTCAAAGAAGGCTGTTAAAGACAAAAATATGTATAACAAATGTCTTCATGTTGGAATCAGTTTTTAAAAACACACTGAGATATACTTCTTTGATTAAATAATCATTTTATTTTATTTTTCTGAACTTATTTAGGGTGAGATTGGGGACCCTGGTGATCCAGGAGAAATTGGACCCAAGGGAGCTAGAGGCCAAACGGTAAGCTTCTTAGATTCCAACTGCTTACAACCTCAGCTACTTTGGGAAGTTCTTCTTTGTGGATTTTACAATCACTTGAGTTGTCGCTTGTTCCCAAAGTCTTGTAAACTGTGTGTATTTGTTGGTAAGACAAACTTGGGGAAGAGAAATCAGTGTATTACTTATCCCCCAATGCCAGCAAGAAGGCAGTGAATTTGTTCATTAGTTCTAGCTGCCAAAGTACCATTCATTTTGTTTGTTTGTTTGTTTTTATTGTGGTGAAAATATACACAGAAAAACATTTGCCAATTCACCAATTTCTACATGTATAATTCAGTGATGTTGATTACATTCTTTATGTGGTGCAACCATTATCCCCGAGATCCTTTTCCACGTTATTCCACTAGCATTAACGTAAACACAACACCCCCTAAACAAAACCTCCCCCGTTCCTCCTCCCTCCTGCCCTTGGTAACCACTAATAATCTTTGCTTTCAATATGTTTGTTTATTTCTTCTAAGTGAGATCATGTAGTATTTGTCCTTTTGTGACTGACTCATTTCACTCAACATAATGTTTTCATGGTTCATCCATGTGGTGGCATGCATCAGAACTTCATTTCTCTTTATGGCGGAGTAATATTCCATTTATGCATATACCACATTTTGTTTATTCATTCATCTGTCAATGGACATTTCAGTTGTTTCCACCTTTTGGCTGTTGTGAAAATTGCTGCAATGAACATTGGTGTACAGGTTTCTGTTTGCATGGCTGTTTTCACTTCTTCTGGATATATACCTAGGATGAGGATTGCAGGGTCATATGGTAGTTCTAAATTCAAGTTTCTGAGGACAAGGTACCATTGTAACCACTGGAAACTTATAAAACAAATTTTTTAAGAGATCCTAGTTGGAGCCCTCGTGGTGCAGTGGTTAAGAGCTCAGGCCGCTAACCAAAAGGTTGGCAGTTTATATCCACCAGCTGCTCCTTGGAAACGCTATGGGGCAGTTCTACTCTGCCCTATAGGGTCACTATCAGTTGGAATGGACTCAATGGCAGTGGGTTTGGTGTTTTTTTGTTTGTTTGTTTGTTTTTGGTTTAGTGTTGCAAATCAGTTTTTGCACTGCCAAAATATGATCAGTTCAATCCCTTCTTCCTGTCAGGTTTAGTGCAATCTAATGCCCACTGGCATTTTGTCTTCACGATTATGAAGGTTTGTTGAAACTATCTTTTATAAAGTATACACTGACAGGTCCTCTCCTTGGTTAGCTCAGGAGGGTATCTCTTGAGCTTTTGTGAGGAAATTTCCATCTATGATGCAACCAAATATGTCCTTATGAGGGGCTTAGATATTGCCTAATGCTTGGATGGCTCGAGGTAAACATGAGTCTCCAGTACATCTCACAGGCATCCACATCCCAAGCTTGCCTTGGGTTCCAGAGTATTAATGATAGATTTCTTGCGTTGCTGACTCTTTGTATATCTTAGACCGTGTGTAAATGAGATGGATGTTTTATTGAACACACAATTTTATGGCAGTTGTCTCTCAAAACATTTTTTTCTTCAGAACAACACTGATCACACAAACTGGTCTTAATATCATGACAGTTAGCACACACACAGAAAAAAAAGTCTGATAAAAATTTATGCCTGAGATGGTTTTCTGGTGTTGTCATCACAGTTCATTTTACTCTGATCTAGTTTTTTTTCCCCTACAAATTGTAACAAGAACTTTATGTGCAAAGATTATTTACGTGCGTTTTAGGAGTTAAGATTTAAATGGCTGAAACGAGGAAATTCCTATTTCTCTTCCTCCTCCTTCTGCAAAGAGGATTGCTTTCCAGCTATAATTCTTTTCCTCATACAAGTTTTTGGATGGCTGTCCTTTAATATTATGCTCTTAAAAAAAAAAAAAAGAAGACCCATATAATTAGAAAATTAATTGGAGAAGATTTTCAAATTAATTCAGATGTCACCTGCCTTGAAATAGCTCTGGATCATTTCCTTTGGCTTGTAAAATGAAGTAGCTTTGAACACTAGACACATGTCAACAAGGTCAGCAGTTTCTTGGATTCTATCCCCTCGGTGGTGCAATAATCATTTTTGGAAAACAGGAAAACTAATTGGAAGTCTATGAACTTTTTCTTTTGACTTTTGGAAATATTTGAATTTCTTTTTTTTTTTTCCTCCTCCATGTTAGGCAATATATCACTGTTGGTAACTCGGTTATTTCACTTGCCAAACTGCTTTTTCCACCTTTACATGAGTATTTTTGGATTTGAAGTTGAGGTTTTAGACGCTGAAAGATTCCAGGTTGTCCCCTTGAAAGAGGTGAAGTTTCCATTGGAAGATTTTGGTAAAGCGTTGCCTGAAATTCTACATGCCTCTTCAGTTCTCTTGAAATGATTATCTTCTTAGATTAAGTTCTTTAAATCTTCACCTAGATTTTTTTTTTTTTTTTTTTTTTAGCAACTGGAGCAATTTTTAAAGTTTGCCATGATTTTTAATCTGTCTTATTTTATGTAAAAATGTATATTTGTATGTATTTATATTTTTTATCAACTTTATGCATGCACATAGTTTAAAGCAGGGCCTCTCAACCTCAGCACTATTGACATTTTGGGCCAGATAATTCTTTGTTGTGAGGGGCTATCCTATACATCGTAGGACATTAAGCAGTATCCCTGACCTCTACCCACTAGATGCCAGTAGCAATCTCCCTCTCACCAGTTATGACAAGCAAAAATGTTTCCAGAAGAATTTAGATAAATGGTAAACTAAGCAAAGTAAATCATCAACTTCTGTATAGGAAATTGCCAAATGAGCAAAATCTACCACCACCCTGTCTTAGTTTTCTAGTGCTGCTATAACAGAAATACCACAAGTGGATGGCTTTAACAAAGAGAAAAGTATTCTCTCACAGTCTAGTAAGCTACAAATCCAAATTCAGGGCATCAGCTCCAGGGGAAGGCTTTCTCTGTCTGTCAGCCCCAGAAAAGGTCCTTGGCATCAATCTTCCCCTGGTTGAAGAGCTTCCCTGCAAAGGAACCCTGAGTCCAAAGGATGCGCTCTGCTCCTGGTGCTGCTTTCTTGGTGGTATGAGGGTCTTCTGTCTCTCTGCTTGCTTCTCTCTCTTATATCTCAAAAGAGATTGGAGTAAGACACAATCTAATTTTGTAGGTCTCATCAACATAACTGCTGCTAATCTATCTCCTTAACATCGTAGTGATAGGATTTACAACACATAGGAAAATCACAAAATGGTGGACAATCATACAATACTGGGAATCAGGGCCTAGTCAAATTGATGCACATATTCTTGGGGGCACAATTCAATCCATGACACACACCCACCATCCCCAGTTAAGAACTACTGCTTTAAAGAGTCAAATAATTTCACAAGGTTTGTTATGAAAAAATGGCAATCCCTCCACTCCTTCAACCCTGTGGAGCAGTTCTACTCTGGAACACATGGGGTCACCCTGATTTGGAATCAGTTTGATGGCAACCAATAATAATAACCACTCCCTCACCCGCTTCCATTTCCTTCTTCTCAGAAACAACAACTTTCATTTCTTAACTGATTGTTTTGGAATTGAGAGTATGCCTCTAGATATCATGCTACTTCTTGATTTTTAAGTTTTAAGTATTATGAATTGATTTCCTATATAGAAGTTGATGATTTACTTTGCTTAGTTTGCCATTTATCTAAACCTTTCTCAAGACATTTAGGTACAGTAGGTATTGTATCAAATTTAATCCTGACCCAGAGCCTTCTGACCTGTCAACATGGGTTGGTTGCCTTCGACGTCTGGTGCTGCCTACCATCCTGAGATTGTCCTTCACCCTCACCCTGGGAATTCCCTTTGCCTCTCTTCTGTGTTGGATCTCTGTTTCCCATTCCCAGCCTCCTCCATCTTGTATTTCTCTCTTGCTTCATGGAACACTCATCCAGTGGCCTGCTAAGAAGGGGGCATAAGAAGCACATTTTTGATACTGCCAACACCTGAAAATGGCTGTAGTCTACATTTACGTGATTGTTGTTTTGGCTACTATACAATTGTGTGTTGAGATTCCTCAGAATTTCGAAGACAATTAGTTCTCCATGGTCTTCTGGCTTCTTTGTTGCTTTGGGAAGTCCAAAGCCATTCTGATTCCTGATCCTTTGTTTGTGACCAGTGTTCTCTCTGTAGAAACTTATTGGATCTTCTCTCTGTCCCTAGTGTTCTGATATTTTATGGTTTTTATGCTCCGGTGTATGATCCATTATTATCCATTTTCCCGAGCAATAAGTGGACCTCTTAAGCCTGGAAACATATGTCCTTTAATTCAGAGAAATGTTCATTAATTCTTTGGAAGATTTCTTCTCCTCTGTTTTCTCTATTCTTGGAATACCTATCATTTGGTATATTAGGCAAGTCTCCTAATTTTCTTATCTCTTCTATTTTCCAGTTCTTTATGTTTTTACTCTACTTTCTGAAAGGCTTTCTTGACCTTGTCTTACAACTTTTTTCTTATATTTTAATTTCCAAGACCTCATTTTTATTCTCTGAATGTTCCTTTTTTTTTTTTTTAATAACATTATGTTCTTGTTTCATGGTTGACACATCATCTCTTCTCACTCTGAGAAGATAAATGGGTGTATTTTAAGTTTTCTTTGCCCAACATAGTCTGTTTCCTGCAGTCTTCTTGTATCTGTTTTGGTCTCTATTTCTCACATGTCTGAGAAATGCACTGTCTCTTCATATTTAAGAACTGAGGGCAAAAAGGCTGAATGGAAGCCGAGCACATAGGTAGGGCTTGTCAACTGCAAGTTTTACTGGAAAGTGGTCTGGCTGAGTTCTTTATTTAGCAAACTTCTGGTATCAGTGTCATTAGGTCCTCTTTGACTAGTTTGATTCCCCTGGGAAGATTCTTGCAGTTTCCTGCCAGGAAGTCAAATACTGTCTGCCAGCTTTCTAGGGGCCACATGGAAAAAGAGAGCTGGGGGGCGTCTCACATCTACTACACATACTTCATTTAATCCCCCAGTTTTTGTATGGTACCTCTGGCCCTCCACTCTGCCTGGAGTCTCCCAGTCCAGACCCCTTGATTTTACCCCGTCCAAGGAATAAACCCTCTGCCTGTTGCTGGAGTGAGAGAAGGGACCATCTCAACTGTAGAGAGTAGGAAGGAGATTTGGGGATTCCTAAAATGATATTCAGTGAATCTTCTCTTATTTAGCTTCTCCTTTTCATCTCCACTTCTAAAGGCACCTGCTGCTACCAATTCGTGAGCCTTATGGGACCCTGTGGTATAAAACACACTGGTTCTTGGCTTTCCTTGCTGCTGGCTTAGGATTCAGCTTTCTCAGGTCTGTAAGTCATTTGACATACAGACATCTGCTTCCCAGTATCCAAAATTTTACAGCTATTGTCTCCTTTCTTATTTTCCCTATCTTACCATCTTTTGCCTTTAAAAAAATCTACTTACTGTCCTTTTAGTAGGATATTGGGAGGGAGCAAAATTAAATGCATGTGTTCAATTAGCATCTTTTGACCTGGGAGTTTAACCTAGTAAGTTGATTTTATTTTTCACTAAACTTACTACACTGTGAATATCATTGGAATACCCAAAGGACATCAATAATTATTTGCTGTTCAGTAACATGGAAAAAAGTCTGGGATGTAGTAGGCAGTCTTCAATAACTGTTATTATTACTGTTGTTATTCCTCATTTTACTAAAAATATTTCTAACAAACTTAAATTTCTTTTGTTGTTATTGTTTCAGGAGTTTTTATATTTTAATTTTGTTTTTCTGGGTTCTTGGTTTGTTTGACTGTCAGTTTAGTCACCTACCATCTCATTTAGATAAAAATCTCTCCTTTGTCCCAGCAATTAACAGTTGTAGAAAACCTTCCTAAGGAAATAATCATAATTGTGCATATGACTTTATAATAATACTGTTTATTACAACAACCACGTAAATACCAACAATAAATGACTAATTAAATCATGGTACATCCATATAATAGAATACTAAGCAGCCATGAAAAATGATTTTGCCAAAGAATATTTAGTAACATGAAGATGTCCAAAAGATATATATTGTTTAAAAGACAAGAGAAAAATACGATCCAAATAAGTTTAAAAATCAATATATATTTTAACACCAAAATAATAAATAGTAAAAGGCTAGAGAAAATGTTACTGAGGATTATTTGGAGGGGAAGGGAATTCTGGGAATTTTTTTTTTCTTCTGTGTGCTTTTTGGAAATCTCTCACTTTTCTAAAATAAAAGTGTATTACCTTTGCAATTTAAAACGTACACACACTCATAAACACACATATATGTGTGTGTAAATATAATTTTAAAATAAATAAATTCTACTTCAAGATATCTGCTGGGCTTCCAGGAGAGCCGGGATCCCCTGGGGAGCCAGGACCCCCTGGACACAAGGTAAGCTGAAAATCCATAAATCACACCAAGTCATTTTCCACTAGGGAAGTCAGTTCATGGAGCCCTCACTGTCCAAACCTACATTCCCTTCTGTCTCTGCTGCTTAGACACTCATTTTACTATTTTTCCACTTTTATGTGCTCAGAGAGAGGAGGAAAAATGCCAGTTAAAAATCAATTGCTATCTCTTGGAAGCTGGGGGAATAGAGAGAAAATGAAAAGTCTTAGTCTAAAATGAGATTTCTCGATTATCAGAATTTTATTTATCTGTCCAATCCTGCCCTCTCATTTCATTCAATAAGTGATCGGTGAATGAATGAAGGTGAGAGGAAAGTGAATAAATGATCAAAAGTTGCATTCACACGGAACTTATTCTTCAGGAGTTGGGTGGGGAGGCTCCACTGCGTTTTTCCTTGAGTAGCCAGCCTCTTCCTGGTCCAAAGTTGGGGTTGAGCACACGAAATTAAAGCAAATTCCACTTTCCTCATTTATCCCCAACCCAGACATACATATATATGATTAGTTTTCCAGGTATTTGATTTGAGCCTGGTCGCTTTGTCATCAAAACCGATGAAGGAAACAGATAAAGGGTCAGCAGCCAAGGCAAAGCGTAGGGGTTGAGAACTGCAAACCTCTGCCTTGAAGGGGACCAGCGCAATGGATGGTTGAGCCTTATCTAGTCCTGAGCCATAGCCTGCTCCACAGCCCTGTATACCAGTCTCAAGTTGTCATCTCCATCTTGTCAACCAAAGATGGAGCATAGGAAAGCGGCCTTGGGAAGCTTGTGTGGGTCAAACTTGCTGCTTACAGTGTATTCCTCCTAGAATGTTACTGTCAATTAAGTGATGAGTATCCTGCCTGTATTCTTTTCTCTCTCTAACTTAAAAGGAATAAGAACTTGTAGAGGTTATCACTTTCTCAGGATAATGATTGGTGTACGTTCTGGCTACTGGTGTATTAGAACCGTGAAACCCACGTTTTCTTGTTCTCCTAGGGCATGAAAGGGGCCAAAGGATGGGCTTCATTTTCCGTATGTATCTACTGATGCCAAGAGTGCTCTGAGCACCACATTAAATGCATGTATTTTAAATGTCAGGAACTAGTGGTCTGCTGGCTAATTCTCTGTTTTATTTGTGAACTGCAGACATGCGAGCTCATTCAGTATGTGCGGGACCACAGTCGTAAGTACCCTGCTGAAAATGATCTCCCAAGCAGCGAACTCTACACTCTGGATTGAGACAATTTAGCAGTCAATTTCTTAAAATTAGAGATGTCACTGCATATATTTTGAGTCCACACAGATGAAGGAGTATTAACTTCTTGCCTGGCTGCCAGCTTGTCTATTTGAACCTGTTCCAAGTGCTAAATAATAATATAGCTAGTGCTTTTTATCTAGGGGAAATTGAAGGATGAGGTCAGTACTCTCCTGATGGTGAAATCCATCAGCGGAGAGTCACACTGAACTTTTTTTTAAATGAGTATTAACAACTGACGCTAACTGACAGGATTGAATTCACTCGGTGTGAAAGAGGCAGCGGCGATAACAGGGTGACCTAGTGGATGGGGACCTGACTTCAGTTCATTGTTTATTGCTTCTTTCCTAGAAGGGCGTATTTTACTTACTCTTAGCTGGACTGATTGACTGACTTGTAAAATTACTCATTCTGCCGATATTTTTTCTCGCTCTTCCTCGCAAAATTTTAAAAGCAAAAAGGTACTTCGATTTAGCAAATGCTCTTCAGAATTTGTTTTAAGACCCTTATAGCAGCCTCTTTGTCTTAGTCATCTAGTGCTGCTGTAACAGAAATACCGCAAGTGGATGGCTTTAACGAGGAGAAATTTATTCTCTCACAGTCTAGTAGGCTCCAAGTCCAGATTCAGGGCATCAGCTCCAGGGGAAGTCTTTCTCTCTCTGTTGGCTCTGGAGGAAGGTCCTTGTCATCAGTCTTCCCCTGGTAGAGGAGCTTCTCAGGCACACGGACCCTGAGTCCAAAGGACGCTCTCTCCTCCTGGTGCTGCTTTCTTGGTGGTATGAGGTCCCCCACTTTCTGCTTGCTTCCCTTTCCTTTCATCTCTTGTAAGATAAAAGGTGGTGCAGGCCACACCCCTGAGCAAGGGTGTTACATCCCACCCTAATCCTCTTTAACGTAATCTAATCTTGCCTCATTAACCACAGGCAGAGATTAGGATTTACAACACATAGGAAAATTATATCAATCACAGAATGGAGGACAACCACACAATACTGGAAATCATGGCCTAACCAAGTTGACACATATTTTTGGGGGACACAATTCAATCCATGACATTCTTCTGTCAAGATACGTGTTCGTGCCATCACAGGAATGCCATTGTGGGGTTAGGAGAGAAGGAACTTTTCATGTTCATTTATAATGCTTAATGACTGCCCAAATAAACAATACGACTGAAAGGAGAAGCCAAAATTTACCTCACGGCATTCTAAGAGAGAAAAATTAGAGCCCATTTGTATAGAGAGAATTGGTCTCCAAGACAGAGACTTTTTAAAACTTTTTTTTTTCAACTGTGTTGACCTTAACTCTGCCTTTTTGTTTTATCAGAGTAGAACCATGATGGGAATCAAATCTATACATTGGGTCATGAACATTGCTTGCTTTGGGGCTGAATCAGCACAGTAGGTTTTCTAACATGGTAGCCGTGTGAACTGCATGACTGAGGTGCAGATCCAAGGGTGATGGGGCCTTTTAAAATCTTTTAAAATTTGAAGAGCCTGATACACAATTACAAATCCAAAAGTAGGTACAAAGTTATTTCACTGGTAAGTATTATTCAGAACAAGAAAAGAAATCACAACCAGTGACTTCTGCATTTGTAAAAGCGCTGTGTGAACATATGACAAGCACCCCTCCAAGATCCGTGCAAGAGGCTCCTGCACATGAGAGGCTGAAGGAGTATTGGCCAACAGAACTTTCTGGAATGATGGAAGTGCTCCACTGCACTGCCCAGTACAGTAGCCGCTGGCCACGTTCAGATACAGAGCACTTGAAATATAGCTGGTGCAACTGAGAAGCTAATTTTTTTTTTTTATTTCATTTAACTTAGCTTTTAAATAGCCGCCTTTAGCTAGTGGCTACCATATTGGACCACGCAAGTCTAAAGCTTAAGCTTCATTTGCTTCAGAGTAAATCCACCTCTGATATTTAGAATGTGTGAATACACGCACATCCAAACACTGAGACATATGTAAAATCAGTTGCTGCAGATATCTACATGGGTGAGACTGCAAGTATATTCAGACTAAAGAGAGCTTAGGGCCCTTTAGCTTTCCAAATTCAGTGACCTCCCTGTATACAGTGTTCCCTCCCAGCAAAAGTCCTTTGCCTCTAACAGCCGACTGCAGGCTGCTGACTTACTATCCCACTGTTCTTCCATCCTCTTCCCTATGGAAAGAACAATGCTTTCGCCAGGATGCTAGGTTCTGTCTGCAAATTCTCCAAATGCTACCTGCTACCTTGATTTTTGAGTCATCTACAAAAAACACCTTGGCAGAACCTCGGCTGCCGTGATTTTCGAATATGGTACAGAACTATTCTCCTACCTAATAATAACCCAATCTCCTTTGTTCTTCTTCCCCAGCTGGCGGATGTGGTGAGTAATCTTTATTTACAGCGTGTTTTAATCGAGATCCAGAATGTTGTACATCTGGAAGGATGAGTTAGAACAATGTGTTGCCTGCCAAAGGATATAAATTTATCTGCGCTTTTTTTTTGCTGCCTTTTACTGGTGTCACGGACCCAATAAATCACTCCATTTTAGCTGAGCTTCACACTTATTTCTCAACCAGCTGGCTTGCTTTTTCATTATTATTAATATTTTAATGACTAGCTTTACTCTTCACATTACTATGAGATTTTTTTGTAATAATATTTCTCCTTCCCTTCATTTTCTCTCTCTCTCTCACACACTTTCTTTTGCATACCATCTTTATCGTCCAGTGGTTAGAGATTAAGGTGCAAAGAGAAGAAGAGTAAATTAGAGACGTTCAGCTAGCAATTACACTGAGTGTACAGTTCGGGTAATGCCGAAATCCAAGGAGCTCATGCCTTATGTTAATTACCAAATTTGCTTGATGCCTTTCAGTGCTAGTTTTCAAGTATTTTACTAGTGCTTATTACATGATGCTCTTGTATAAACCCACCATCACCACGCTCTTTGACTGCTTGTTCACTCATTAAACAAATGTTTATTGAAAGCCTACTGCTATGTGCCAGGCTCTGTCCTAGGCACTGGGGACACAGGGATGAATAAGCGGGACATCTTTCCTTCCTCAGGAGCTTCCATTCTAGTTGGGGAGACAGATAACAGACAAATAAAAGAACTACAGAATCTATAACGAGTAACTAATTGTCATCGAGTCAGTTCAGACTCATGGCAACCCCAGGTGTGTTAGAATAGAACTATGATCCATAGGGCTTTCAATGGCTGGTTTTCAGGAAGAAGATCACCAGATCTTTCTTCCAAGGCACCTCTGGGTGGACTTGAGCCTCCAACCTTTCAATTAGCAGCCAAATACGTAAACGGTTTGCACCATCTAGGGACTCTGTGGGATCTATACTCATTGCAGTCGAGTCGATTGCAACTCATAGCAACCCTATAGGACAAGATAGAACTGCCCCATAGGGTTTCCAAGGCTGTTATCTTTGTGGAAGCAGACTGCCACATCTTTCTCCCGAGGAGCAGCTGGTGGGTTCGAACCACCAACCTTTCAGTTAGCAGCCGAGCGCTTAACCACTGTGCCACCAGGACTCCTTATAGATTTCATAAAAATAAAATTATAGACTTTTTTCTTTTGTGCTTCATTAAAAAAATAATAAACTCAATTTCAAGAGCACTTTTAATGAGTCAAGATTTAAAAGTTTAATCTTTATTCCATATTTATTTTAATATTTATGTTTAAATATTTGGATAGTTAACATTTAAAAGTATTTTACTTTCTATATACCTGTTTTATTTTTAAAGCAAGCATGCAACCTGATAAGGGGTATGTTCTTCCCTTTTGGAGTCACTGGATGGTGCGAACAGTTAACTCATTCTGCTACTAAATGAAAGGTTGGAGGCTCAAGTCCAGCCAGAGGTACCTCAGAAGAAAGGCCTGGCAATCTACTTCTGAAAAATCAGCTATTGAAAACCTTATGGAACACAGTTCTACTCTGACACACACGAAGTCGCCATGAATCAGAGTCCTCTTAATGGCACCTGATTTTTCTTGCCTTTTAGGAAAGCCCAAATGCCCCGTCTATCCAACAGAGTTGGTGTTTGCCTTAGACCTGTCCCAGGATGTCACCAAGCAGGATTTTGAGCGGATGAAGGGGATGATCTCTTCCCTCCTGAGAGAAGTTAAAGTCCGGGACAACGGTTGTCCCGTGGGAGCACGCATTGCTATCCTCTCCTATAACTCCCACACCAAGCACCTCATCCGCTTCTCAGACACCTACAACAAGAACCACCTTCTCAGGGAAATTGAAGCTATTCCTTATGAGAGCTCCTCCAACAGCAGGGACATCGGCAAAGCAATGAGGTTTATTTCCAGGAATGTCTTCAAGCGAACACTCCCAGGGGCTCACACGAGAAGAATCGCAACGTTTTTCAGCAAGGGCCAGTCTGCCGATGCCCACTCCATCACCACGGCCACCATGGAATTCAGTGCCCTTGACATCGCTCCCGTCGTCATCGCTTTCAGCAACGCCTCTTCCGTCAGGCGTGCATTTGCGGTAAGAGGTTTAGCCTTTTGCCTAACAATTATTATTTTGTGTGTGTGTTCACAAGCCTCTAGACTTAGAACTATAGTCTCCTGCCTTCAAAATCAGGATTGTTTGGATTTTTTTTTTTTTAAATTCTGGGTTGGTAGAGTGTTAAGGTGCTATTTGTTACTGTGATACCAGGAACATGCTAAGCCCTTTATATGCATTATCCTGTTTGATTCTCACAAGTGGTACCTAGACATAGACTTAATTGTTACTCCCATTTTACAGATGAGAAAACTGAACCTGCAGAAGTTAAGCTGTTCACCCAGGTTCACACAGATAATAAATCTCAATGTTAGGATTTGAACCCAGGTTTTCTATTCTACTGCTTGCCCAGGTTACTGAGTTGCCTCAGGGTCTAAAGATACTGAACTAGGAAGGAGTACAAACACCCGTGGGCATCACTGATATAGCCAGGGTCGGGGTGGGTGAAAAACAATTGGCTGATTTTATAACTTAATCAGTCATGAAAAGATTTAAATTTCCAAAAGGAGAAGCCACTCCAGTTATAGTCTGGGATTGAGGATTAAAATCTTAAATGTGTAACGTTCCTAAGAACACCACACGGGGGTCAAGACAGCCATGTTGATCCAACATGGAGTTTGGTTCTTTATTCATGTGGAGTCCTTCAAGAGGGACCCAAGGAGCAGCAAAAGGGTATTGTTAAAGGCCAACAATTTGAAAATTGTTTCATTTAGAGAAAGGAAGTAACAAAGCAACTAAATCACTGTCTTTAAATGTGTGAAAAAACATATTAGTGGAGAAAATCTCATATTAGAGAAACTGGGTGTAATAGCAGTATGGAACTCCAGGTTAAGTTTAAGAAAAAACTTCCTGAAGGTAAGTTAGATTTACTGTTGGCATGGACTAAATGCAGGTAATCAAGACGTCACTTTTATGGGGCCACTCAACTGTCAAGGGTGACTTCTGTCTATCTTTCCTGGAGGCCAGAGGCCAAGATTAAATGGCCTTTTGAGGCTCTATCCAGCTCTGTAATTGTCTGTAAAGGTGGTTAAATAAGCAAAACAGAGTTGAAATATAGTACTTATCTGTAAAATATGGAAAGCAGTACCTGTTTCGTAGAGTTGTTGTGAAGATTAAGTGCTATAATGCAGGTGCATTAACACCTAGTATATAGTAAGCACTAAGGAATGGTAGCTATTGCTTTGATTATTATTGTATTCAGTTGCATGATGCTGAACTAAAATCAGTTTAATAATATTGAAGTGTAGGTTGTAAAGGAGCTGAAACTGCTATCAGCATCATTGAACTACCTCTTAGAATTATGCAAATGAAAGGCTGATGTGTCAGGACCAGAAAGGAAAATGCACATAGATTAGAAAAGACTGGGGATAGGCTATGCAAATGAAGCTGCAGAGAAGTAGCAGCTCAGAAATTCTATATGTGAGTTTGGTAGCCCACAGAGTCCTCATCATTCCCTGTTTATTGGGCGCCTGCATCGTCTCTTGGCTTTATTTAGGCACAGAACAAGAGATGACTCTGTATCCTGATGCAAATAACTAAGGGCACTGTAGTATAAACTTAACTGACATAATTCCTCCCACTCACGCAAAGCTATATGCACAGCATGTAACTTACAAAAACGTATTTGCTTGGGGTTTTTTGTTTATTTGTTTGCTTGTCTTACTGTGGTAAATATATAGGTAACAAAACATTTTCCATTTCAACTATCTTCAAATTAACAGTTCAGTGACATTAATTATGTTCGTCATGTAGTTCAACCATCACCCTATCCACACCCAAATTTTTCCATCACCCTTAATTTTTTTTTATTTTTTTATTTTTATTGTTGTGCTTTAAGTGAAAGTTTACAATTCAAGTTAGTCCCTCATACAAAAATTTATACATACATTGTTTTGTGACCCTAGTTCCTCTCCCTATACTGTGACAGTACAGTCTTCCTTTCCACCCTGGGTTTCCCGTGTCCATTCAACCAGCTCCTAACCCTCTCTGCCTTCTCATCTCGCCTCCGGACAGGAGCTGCCCATTTAGTCTCACGTATCTACTTGAGCTAAGAAGCACACTCTTCCTGAGTATCATTTTATGTCCCATAGTCCAGTCTAATCTTTGTCTGAAGAGTTGGCCTTGGGAATGGTTTTAGTTTTGGGCTAACAGAGAGTCCGGATGCCATGTCTTCCAAGGTCCTTCCAGTCTCAATCAAACTATGAAGTCTGGTCTTTTTACTAGAATGTCAGTCTGTACCCCACTTTTCTCCTGCTCCGTCAGGGACTCTCTGTTGTGTTCCCTGGCAGGGAGGTCACTGTGGTAGGCAGGCACCATCTAGTTCTTCTGGTCTCAGGCTGATGAAGTCTCTGGTTTATGTGGCGCTATCTGTATCTTGGGCTAATACTTCCCTTGTGTCTTTGGTGTTCTTCATTCTCCTTTACTCCAGGTGGGTTGGGACTAATTGATGCATCTTAGATGGCCACTCACCAAAGTGGGATGCAGAACATTTCTTAAAAAACTTTGTTATGCCCAAAGCTTATTAAGAAAATGTTGGGCATCCTACTTTGGTGAGTGGCATCTGTGGTCTTAAAAGCTTGCAAGCGGCCATCTAAGATGCATCAATTGGTCCCAACCACCTGGAGTAGAGGAGAATGAAGAACACCAAAGACACAAGGGAAGTATTAGCCCAAGATACAGATAGCGCCACATAAACCAGAGGCTTCATCAGCCTGAGACCAGAAGAATTAGATGGTGCCTGGCTACCACAAATGACCTCCCTGACAGCAAACACAACAAAGAGTCCCTGATGGAGCAGGAGAATGGTGGGGTGCCGAACTCAAATTCTAGTAAGAAGACGAGACTTAATGGTCTGACTGAGACTGGGGGGACCCCAGAAGGCATGGCCCCCAGATTCTCTATCAGCCCAGAACTAAAACAATTTCCGAGGCCAACTCTTCAGACAGGGATTGGACTGGACAGTGGGACATAAAGTGATACTCGCGAGGAGTGTGCCTCTTAGCTCAAGTGGATACAAGAGACTAAATGGGCAGCTTCTGTCCAGAGGTGAGATGAGAAGGCAGAGAGGGTTAGGAGCTGGTTGAATGGACATGGGGACTCAGGGGTGGAAAGGAGGAGTGTGCTGTCATAGTAAGGGGAGAGCAATTAGGGTCACATAACAACGTATGTATGAATTTTTGTATGGGAGACTAACTTGAAATGCAAACTTCATTTAAACTACAACAATAAAAAAAAAAAAAACTTTATTATGCCAGTTGACCTAGATGTCCCCTGAAACCATGCTCCCCAGACCCTTGCCCCTGCTATTCTGTCCCTCGAAGTGTTTGGTTGTATTCAGGAAACTTCTTAGCTTTGGTTTAGTCCAGTTGTGCTGACTTCCTCTGTAGTGTGTGCTGTCCTTCCCTTCACCTAAGA